AGCTCCATCACTTGGCTGGGAAACGGGCCCGGAGCCCTTTACTTTGGAGTTGACCGTGACGGTTCTGACAGTGTCCACGGAGCCAGGGCTGGCCAGTGGCCTGGAGTGAGCTCAGGCAAGGTCTCCATTCAGAAGCCATGGCCTGCAGGGCCTGCTTCCCAAAGCCAGCAGCACCGTGCCCACAGGCTTGCTAAGAGATTTGCATCAGGCCCCACATGCTGTCCTTGGTTTGCGGCCTGATGCTGCTTGTTGACCGTGACGGTTCTGACAGTGTCCACGGAGCCAGGGCTGGCCAGTGGCCTGGAGTGAGCTCAGGCAAGGTCTCCATTCAGAAGCCATGGCCTGCAGGGCCTGCTTCCCAAAGCCAGCAGCACCGTGCCCACAGGCTTGCTAAGAGATTTGCATCAGGCCCCACATGCTGTCCTTGGTTTGCGGCCTGATGCTGCTTTTCATCTGTGCTACAACTGGTTTGTTAGGGACCACACCCTTCTGCTGGGGTCACGGAGGTGAGGCTCCTCCTGCCCGCTGGGCCCACAGCAGGCAGAGCCTGTCTCCCTCACCCGCCCGAAACAGCACAAACATGCCGGTTCCAGTCCCCACCACCTGCAGAGGGAGCACCAGGCACCACAGCTCCAAAGGCACAGATAGGAGCTGGGGAGGGTCCACTGCTGTCCTGTGCCCCATAAGCCACGCCCCCCCCACAGCCTGCCTTTCAACAGTGCAACAGGGCAAGACAGCCAACACAGAGAGGGGCCTGTAGGCTCGAGTCTGCCCGCACCCCTGCCCCGGCTCACTGAGGGAGCCAGGCTGCAGCCAGACAAACCCACTGAGGCAGACACTTTTGATGGTTAAAAAAATTTTGGGTTTTATTATTTTGCTAAACAATACTAAAAAAATTTCCATTTTGTAAAGGCAGGGCTTGAATTATTTAATTTTGATCCATTTATTTAAAAAAAAGGGAAGGGGGAAGATCATGGCAAAAAAAGACACTCCTGTAGCTTTGCCACACCCATGCCTAGCGTAGGAGGAAGCCAGTTTCACAGGCTCCCTGGCCTAGCCTGACAGAGCGGTGGCTGCAGATGAGATGCCAAATGGACCAACGCACGAATCCCAGATGGCTACGGGTACAGGGGAAGACAGCCCAGTGACTAGGCTTTTAGAGTTGGGTTCGACAGAGTGACAAAAGCCCTAGTGCTCGTAGCAAATGGAGCACAGTGCGGCACTGCTGGAACAGATCCCAGAGCGCTCTGCACGGGCGCTTGGCCGTATACAAACCATGTCCCAGCTTGTAAGGGCCCCAGATGTGCACGTGTCCGGAGCAGAAAGGGGATCAAACAAACAGGCTGCTATCCAAGTCCATTTGGATCATTTTAACATTTAAAAAAATAGAAGCCTACACACGACATTTGGTTGCCTGAACCATTGCAATGCAAGAGAAAGCTACCGCACCTCCAGCTCTGCCAGCCCACTGAGGACGAGATACGGCTCTGTGGTACTGTACTGTGGGAGGCAGGGAGGAGAAAATTAGCAGCACCATCCTGTGTTATTCCTAGCGCCTGCGCCTTCCCACACTGGGCCAACATGTCTTTAGCACAGGACAGTAAGAAAGCAGGGTCAGTCCCAAGTCCCCAAATCGGAACGTGTGAGCTCTCCAGAGAGTCACAGGCAAAGCCACCGAACTCCACAGGGCTGAGTAGGGGTGGGGAGGGTTGTTTTCTTTTTTTGCCATGATCCCAGTGAAGAGACCTGCTAGAAGCAGAAAATATTTAAAGAACATATAT